GGTTGGCGCATGCCTGTAATCCCAGCTACTTCGGAGGCTGAGGCAGGAGAATCGCTTGAACCCGGGAGGCCAGAGGTTGCGGTGAGCTGAGATCGCCGCCATTGCACTTCCAACCTGGGCAAAAGAGCGAAACTCTGTCTCAAAATTAATATAATAATAATCACTCATACATTCTTACGCTGAGACTTAATTTATTATACATCTCTAGAATCTTTGCTTCAAAGTCTGTTATAACAGCTACCACAAATCAAGTGCTGGACAAGTTTTTTTTGGGTGCCCGCTCTGGTTTTTCTTTTTTTTTTTTTTTGAGATGGATTTTGCTCTTTTTGCCCACGGCTGGAGTGCAACGGCACAACTCCAGCTCACCACAACCTCTGCTCCTAGTTTCAGCACGATTCTCCTGGCCTTAGCCTCCCAAAGCTGAAGATTACAGGCATGTGCCACCACATCCGGCATAAGTTTTGTTTTTTACTACAGATGGGATTTCACCATGTTGGCGCAGGCTGGGTCTTGAACTCCTGACCTCAAGTTGATCCACCTGCCTCGGCCTCCCAAAGTGCTGGGATTACAGGCATGAGTCACCGTGCCCAGTCCTATTTTTATTTTTGTAGAGATGGGGTCTCACTTTGTTGCCCAGGCTGGTCCAGAGCTCCTGGGCTAAAGCGATCCTCCTGCCTTGGCCTTCCAAAGTGCCGGGACAACAAGGTGTAAGCCACCATGCCCAGCCTGCCAGGTTCAATAAAGGAGGCTGTACTGCTATCCACATTTGGTAGCCTGAGGGCCAGAGAAAGGAGGGTACTTACTTGGTCAAGTTCTCACAATGACCAGATAATAATTTATAGCCAGTCTTTGAGAGGAAATATGTTTCTACATGATTTTTATCAGCTGTATTGTGTTCCAGATAGATAAACTATACTTTGCTGAACTAATCCCCTTGCACTGAGCATTTAGATTACTCCCTACTTAGTGCTGTCATTAAACAAAGCTCAGCAAATATCCCCATATGTATATGTATATCTTTGATCCCCTATTGCATAATCTTCCTGGCCAGGTGTGGTGGCTCACGCCTATAATCCCAGCACTTCGGGAGGCCGAGGCGGGCGGATCACAAGGTCAGGAGATCGAGACCATACTGGTTA